ATTTTATTCAGCCGAGTTTTCAGTCTTTTTGTTTACCTATTTTACCATTATTCCTCTAAACCAGGAATACAAACTGGAAACATTCTTCACATGCTTAATATTAAATTTATAAGTACTTTTGTGACTGCTTTAAATCAAGCAATTCTTTCCTGCCTTCGTAACTGTGTTGACATTCATGAAGCATTCAGAACATTGATTTTTTTTCATCTATCAATTTATATAATATCTTCGAATGTGTTGACATTCATGAAGCATTCAGAACATTGATTTTTTTTTCATCTATCAATTTATATAATATCTTCGAATGTGTTGACATTCATGAAACATTCAGAACCTTGATTTTTTTCTATCTATCAATTTATATAATATCTTCGAATGTGTTGACATTCATGAAACATTCAGAACATTGATTTTTTTTCATCTATCAATTTATATAATATCTTCGAATGTGTTGACATTCATGAAACATTCAGAACATTGATTTTTTTTCATCTATCAATTTGTATAATATCTTCGAAGCAACAGCTTTACTTTTTATCACTTTGTGACTGTATAATTGTAAGAAAATCTTCAGTTTATGTTTGTTTTGTCCATAGTAAATGAAAAAATGTTCTCTTTCAATGACATGATAACTGAATCGTGAATTTTAATGAAGCAAAAAGGCTAAAGATGTATATTTGTATGGTTGGTTACAGAAAGATGTTTACAGTGCAAAGGGATCAACAGGTTCCGTAGTCAGTGTGTCCGTTGAAAGTGCCCTTGAATGTTTTGATTTTCTCAACTTGGCACTGGATAGTGACTCAGATCAAAGGTAAGAAATCATACATAGCAGTTAACATGTAACTTATCAATACAGTATAAACAAATTTTGAGGAGGCGTTATGTTTTGAATAAAGCAAGCAAAAAACAACTTTCAATATTAATGTTTACATGAAAGTATTTGAAAATAGTCGAATAGTGTGGTATTTAGGTACACTATTTCGATCGCAAAAATATTAATTATTTGCACAATGCAGGTTTTATAAATCTTAAACAGAAAATAAAATTAACTTTGGGAGCAAGGAAGTAACACAAGTATACAAATAAAAGAAATATATTTATTCATACAATAAATAGTGAATGTTTTCAGTTGGCTGGCTAACATCTGTAATTAAATGAACTGGAGTGTAAAAATTATCTTGTATATCCCCCACTTTCATATCAAACCAAGGTCATGCCCCAATTTAATAATTACCTACTATGAATTTTGAAATCAACATTAACTCTGATGCAAATGCTTTTACCAATATCAGAAATTCTGTAACTTCAGTAGAGACTTTACTGGACTTACTCGTATTGTCTATCTCTGTCATGAAAGAAGATCCTGTGGCTGCATTGCCAGCCTTTAATTTTTGTATCTTTATTGTTTGCTGGTGTGCCTGGTGGTTTTCATAATCACATGGATGCTCAAATTGCAGAATACCCACCCTTTTTTTGATGATGTTGAACAAGTCCAATATTTTGTGCAATACAGTCGATTATATAAAGTATATTTCAGAGTGATCTAACAACTATTATCACATTTCTAACTCTGGAATACTGAATCTGACCTTTCAACTCAAGAGTATATTTTTGTGAAGATCCATTTTAAAGTTTTGTGTGAGACCTGAGTTCTTATGTTGCACACTGGATGCATTCAATAGTATTTAAACATCTCAAAAATTTCTCCATACATAGTCACCATCCCTTCTGAATATAGAGGTCACTTTTAGCACATAGTCACCTCCCCACTGAATTTAGAGGTCACTTTTAGCACATAGTCACCTTCCCACTGAATTTAGAGGTCACTTTTAGCACATAGTCACCTTCCCTTCTGAATATAGAGGTCACTTTTAGCACATAGTCACCTTCCCACTGAATTTAGAGGTCACTTTTAGCACATAGTCACCTTCCCACTGAATTTAGAGGTCACTTTT